ACTCGGCTTAGGACTATTCGAAATTCTAATACGTAACAGCTCATTGCGCAGTTATGAATATTTCTGTATTTTGAAATCATAATAGTAAGTCTTGGTAATTTCGTCATATTTTATGTAATTGCAATTATTATTCCCTAAGTTTTATTAGGTCTCAAGGGGTGCAGTTTTTAAACACTTCTTGGCAGCAGATTTTTTCTGCTTATTTATAAAGATGGCCTTTTTTTGAGTGGTATACCGCTAATTAGACAATATAACTGTAACTTGCCTCAGGTTACTTGACCTGACCCTGTGAAAAATGGGACATTTCCAATAAGGACTCAGCGGTAGGAGTGATACCTTTCCCGTAATATGTAAAGTGAGAAAAGAAACCGTTATATTCACGATAATTTTATTATGCAGAAGAGCTTGGCATTTTTATGTACATGATTATATGCAGTGTAAAGAAACTGATAATATGTATTACATGGGAACTCTAACTTTGAGAATGGCATGCATATCCAGGCAATACTTTTCATGCGCAATGTGTTTTACACTAATTTCTTTTACTTGATGCGTTTTGAATTTCTATTAGAAGGCCCATCTCGAAATATTAGAATATCATGTTCCCAACAAAGTGTCTGAACAGCATTCTCTGTGCTAGTAAAGTTGTGTAGGTTTTTGCATATCGCTGAACTAAACGTCAAAAAATATTCGAGTTTATATTTTTCATTTACTTTTAGTATACCCGGCTAAGAAAACATGGAATAAGAATTCAGTTCGAACATCATAAATTTAGCTTTACTATATAATATTTAATTTGCATGTGACGTATATCTATCATAAAGAACAATACAAACAACAAAGATAAATCTATAAAACAACCCAAACTTTAATAAATTTATAGAATTCATACTTCAGATAATACAGCTCATATTGTTATGAAATCAGGAATATTAAATATTTCTGAACAATTCTCTGAAGATCATTAATAAATTTGAGGATGAGCAATCTATCTATCTGTCTGTGTTGTTTATTAGCAACATCAGTTTTTACTGTTACTAGTTTTGTGTTTCTGTGTGTGCTGTGATTGGCTTTTAGGCATTCCTAAATATTAGCTTGCCCAATAGTTGAGAAAAATTCGTAACAACATAGGAGTTATAATTGGAAGAATTTGTTTCGTGCGTGTCACGTGAAAGCTTGTTAATGCGAAAGGGACAGTACTCCACATAAGCTCCGCCTTTACACTGGACCATCGAATAAAGCAGCAAAACATATTCATGCATTGATGCCATCTATTGGTGTAACTCAGTAATAGTTTGGTCGGAAGGAAAACCTTAATTATTAAATTTTAAAATGAGAAAGATAATTTTGGACCACCTTGTGTTTAATAAGCATGAATATTTAATATAGTTGTAACTAGGTACTGTTACTTTAAATTTTAGATATGAAAGAATACAGTAAAATACTTTATTTTGTCAGAAAATTATAGTAAGGCATTCACCATCATGTGCAAAAATATTTGCACCTTTTTATATATTCTAAAACAGTCAGAACTATATTTTTACCTTTCCTGTAACTAATTTTATTTTTTGTTTAAGCCTAAATTCCGTGATTAGTTTAATAACTTAAAATACTTACCATGAAATTTATAATACTAAATACATCAACTGCTCTTTGCAAACTTTGAGTCCAAGATTGAAGTTTTTTTATTCTATTGTTTTCCTAACATAGCTTTCAAGGCTTTTGTTGTTTTTTTTTGCTTCAAACAATGTGTTTAATTTTGGAACTTTCTGAATATTAGGGGGGTTTCCACTTCATTTGAAGGTAAATATGGCAGTATTCGATACTGGTTAAAGGCAGAGATGGAGAAACCTTGGTCATTCAATCACAAGACTAAAAAGGCTTTTACCTTGATCAGTCCTATTGACATAAACAGGACAGAGTATTTGGTAAGCTATCAGATTGCAGAAATGGAACTTGTTGTTTGGTATAGTTATAGTGATTTTGCATTTTAATAGCATTTGAAATACATTTATCAGAGAATTTGAACCAACTATGTATTTTACATTTTGCATAAATGTCTGGTCAGTGGTGTTTCAATGTATAATATTTGTATTACAATATCAGAAACATTAAATAAACTAAAATGCAATGTGTTAACTTAATGTTTTATTCTATTGCACAATTGCCTCTTTATTTAGTATTTTTCTCAGTAAAAGACCCAGTCTCATTGTTTTGCCAAAAACATTAAGTCATGCACAGTAATATGTCATTGATATATTCTACTTCACGTTTTTATGCATCAAACGTAATTATTGTTTGATCAGACAGAAATTTTAGTTCCTTTTAAGTAAGCATAGAAAATGCTAAAATTGATATTTCTTGGATGAGACAAATTCTGAAAGAAAGATAAAAGATGACCCTCACAGGAGATGTTACTATTTATGTGGTGTACTGGCAGTATGTGCAATGTATAAATAAATATAAAAATTGTTAACCCTAAAACCATGAGTCAGTTGTAAAAACATTGCCATGTTTTGTTGGTAACTTTGAAGAAGAGAAAATTTGCTGGACAAATTTCTCATATAAAACTTTGCATAAGTTTCAGTCCTTTGGTTTGAAAAGTGCAATTAAACTCAAAAGTGTTGATGAAAATTATTTTCAAAGAAGATTATTCAGGGACATTCCATTGTGACCTTGATTTACACTGTAAGGATGGTTAAGCATGTTCATGAAATCTAGAACACACTGTACACTTAGTAGAAACAAAAATAAATGTTCTTCACCTTCTTCTGACTTTCGATCATTGAGGTATGATCAACCATATTTAAATATCGGGTCTGGCATGGCCAGGTGGTTTGGGAACTTGACTCACAATCAGAGGGTCATGGGGTCGAATCCCCGTCCCATCTAACATATTTGCCCTTTTAGGTGTGGAGGCATTATAATGTGATGATCAGTCCTATTATTTATTAGTTAAAGAGTTGGTGGTGGGTGTGATGACTTGTTAAACAACAAGTATTTCACTGCTAAATTAGGGATGGCTGTCACAGATAGCCCTCGTGTAGCTTTGTGCGAAATTCAAAAACAAACAAACAAACCAGTTAAATGTCAATTACTGAATGATTAAAGACAGTAAAAGTGATTACAATGAGAAGAATACAGTGAATTATTCTTACAGTTTTTTGCTTAGTTTTCTCATCTTGTTTTGATTAGATAACATTATTTTTGAATGACCTCTCTTTCTGTTTGCTCAACTTCAATAGGAGCCCCAACGTCACTGCAAACAACACACCTTCCAATCCTGCACTTGCAACTGGGACTAGGGTAAACATGATTTTCAGATATTTTCCCAATGAATATTGACTAATTTAGCACTGAAAAACAGGACTTTTATAGATAAATTACTTCACAGAAGGTTGTGTACTTCTACCTAAATTTTGAAATAATTGGGAAGAATTCCTTTCCAAACTAATATTTCTATGCAAGAGGTGAGACAGTGAATGCAAAAGTTTTATTGTTAAATATCTGTAATACTAAAGATTGAAAAGCAATTTTAGTGATTTTTATCAGATATTGTGACAAAAAAAATGGCTAATAATTTCTCTACAATTGACTCCTGATTTTAGGGTTTAATTTTTTAAAAAGATTATTGCCTAAGTGAACTTTAGGTTAATTTAGGTAATTAATATTCATGCACACCACTTTTATCACTTGTAATATTATACATTGGCAGTTGTAATTCTGAAGTTACTAGTAAAATTGTTACTCTTGTTTTAATATTATTCTGTAGCAACTGTAATTCTGTGGGTTTTAGTAAATTTGTTGATTCTATTGCCTGTCTTAGGGTTTATACTAACAGTTATTGCTTTGAAATTTATATCAAAATTACTGTAATAATTTTAATTAGTAGCCACCTCCATATGTGATAGTAAGATTTTGCTTTCATCAATTTAAAAATTATTTATTACCAGTTATAGTTTTGAACCTGGTAGTAAAACTTTGTTTCTTCTTTGTCCAGTCAAAATGTTACAAGACAAAATGTCACTGTAGCATTATCTGTGACAATTATTATAAGTGGATAACGTGTATATATATAATAATATTTGTTCACTTTTGTGTTTATATGGGATAAAATTTAGAAACAGATATCTAACATTTTAGCTGTTTTGTAACATGTTCACTGTGTATATCTTGTTTCTGACATTGAAACTTTTTTCTGTCATAAGAGGGATTCATACCAGTAGTTGTTGGTCTATTTTGTTTTAAAATAGTTGTTTCCATCATTTGTAATACAAATAGAATTTATAGATGGCATTCATATTAAATACTTTGTTTTTTGCTAGTATAGCTCTAGAGTTGATATATGAAAACAATCGAAGCAAATTTTATTCATACCTCACTGATAAAAGGATTTCTTATACACACATTTTAAAAATAAAATCTACAGCATTGCTCTGGGTAAAGTATCAAATTTCACAGGATATGCACAGAAATTTTTCATAAGTGTGTGTTTACATATTACTCTTTTTTAAAAGCGCAACAACAACCATGAAAACTACAATTCTGACCATGAACATCATTTGCAGATTGTGTTGATTTCCACTTTAAATTATAGATGTACAATGGCCAAAATGATTTCAGTCCCATTTTATCAGATCAAAAAACAATAAAAATAATGTGATTCAAATCTTATGCATTCTGCTGCAGACACATTTTTGAGCTTCCTAAAGATATTCATTTTCTCATTTGCAGTGTACAGTGTTTTCCCACTTAGATTGAATATAGTCATATGATCACTACACAGCACTCTATGTGTGTAGAATAGTATGCAGTACATGCATGCACGTAGCAGTACAGGTAGCTAATGCAATTTGTTTATGAAATGCTTTAGACACATTTTAATTTTATTGTGTCATATTTAAATCACTTTTATTCAATATATTACAAAAAAATAAATCCTGCCAAACTCAAGTTTTCAGAAAGAGCAATCTTTAAGTTCTTAGTTATTGTTTTGTTCCACATTTCCACCCTTCTTAGCCAGCTATAATCCATTTAGCTAAATAAACATGGTTCTCCCCACATTTAGAAGGAAGATTGAAGAGTGAAGGTTTCTTAGCACCTTATATTTGCATTTTTACTTGAATTTAATGCATTGTTTGCTTTTATAATTTTGGATCTTTCTTCAGCTGCATTGAATCCACCCAACCTGGATCTGTAGGGTTAAAAGAAATCATGGTATTTGAATAATTTTACTTTCTGTGTAATCTGAGAAAGCACAATTTACACAGAATTTTATTTATGTATACAAAGATAACTGAAAAAAACATAAAATATGTCCTATTGTTATGTTATTTTGGGCCGGGGTATATGTATCCTTCTTTGGGTATGCAGCCTTGGCATTACAATACAAAAATATGTTCTGTTGAGTAGTTGTTATCATTAATGTGTACTATGTATTACTGGGAATTGATTCTAGCTGTCTTTTAGAGTAATTGAGACATTGTTGTCAAAGTACTGGTGATTAAAATGAAATTTTCTAGCCATTGGTCAACAGGACTATTGGTTGGAAAAGTCCACTAGCACCACAGACATTCTGCTGGCCCAGTGTAATATTCATTGAATGTTCACTTTAAACGTGAAAGTCATGTATCACAGCATATGTCAAAGTGTTAATGGAAGCAGCTTTAAATGACTTATTGTAATTATTGTATAGTTATTAGACTGCTAGTATACAGTGTTTTCTAGAGTTGAACACTACCAAATCATTTATACATGCCAGAAAAAAGAGATTTGCCCACAAGTTTTTCTTGTTTCTTTTTATTGTCATTTTTAATTTGATGAGCCTTCTTTAGCTTTTTCTTGGCAAAAAGTTGTGTTTTATTTAATTTATTTTTATTATGATGTAAAATCAGTGTAGTTGCACATTTATATATTTACCAATTGTACAGATTGTCCTAGTTAGTTTTACCAGTTATTCAATTTAAAGTGATTAAAGTAGATGTGGGTGGAAAATTGGTATTTATAAATTTTGCGCTTACTGCAGCCTCAAACACAAGTTTGGCATTTCGTTATCACTACACCAAGCTATGTTAAGTTTAAAACAGTTGTAATGGATGTATTTTATATTTGGTAGAGCTACAATGCTCATTAGTATAGTTATACAATTGTTTAACAGGGTGCATAGTTGTGCATTGATATCACCAAACAAGTCATTATCACCAGCTTTGGTAGCAATTGCTATTTATCATACTTTGAGTAGAGAAACTTATAGAGCTAATATTTAATGAAATTACAATACCTATAATTATAAAGGAATTATTTACCAAATTTATAGTTGCTGTTCCTTGGTTGTACAATACATGTACATGTTTATAATGGTAAAGCTTTTACTACCAACAACTTATTTATAGCTCCAAAGCCTTTCCTTTTTCTTTCTGCTTGGCATGAGTAATGGTGGGAAGGATGTTTTAAGTTAGATATTTTTAAATTTTCATTTCAAACAAGTGACAGTAGGAGAGATGTGAACACATTAATGTAAAGGTTGGAATGAAATGGGAAACAAAACATAATAATATTGAATATTTCTTTAATGGTAGAGTACAAGATTTGCTCTGTTTGAATGGAACATTACTGAATTTTCCTTTAGATGATGGTAGAAAACACTATAGAGAAAACATTATGTTGTTGGTGTTGCACTTCAGGGCCCATTTCCTTGTATGCACGCACAGACAGAAAAGGTTATTGTCCAGGTGAGACTGTCTATGCCTTAATATTTTGTACAAGACAAGGTTTAATCTTTGTAGATATTATGTATATAATTCATTCTTATGAGGGAAAACTATTAGTCTAGTATGTTGTTAAGTATTTATTTGTTCAAATATATTGTTACGTCTCAGTTCGTTAATTGATTTTTTCGTAACTTCGTTCCGACGAAACTTTAGCGGCACAAGTCCTTACTTAATAAAACTGGTTTATTCTTTCTGAATATAACTTTTACGATACACTTAATCTCAACAAT